CAAGCGTATAAGTATCGTGACTACGTCCGTACTTGGCGTTTAATCGTATAATCGTAATATTTATATTATTATTATTACCGTCGTCGTCTAAAAGCGAAGGATCGATCACAACTGTGTTTAAATAACAATATATCGTAATATTATTTAACGAGATATCGCCGATTCGTTTTGCGCACAGTGCTCTCGTTCGTGTCGCGTTCTACAATTTTTTAGAACGTAAATCACATTTTTTTTTCGCCGTTCCTACTGTAGTTCGTTTCGCTTCAATCCGACGACAGCTACCATGAAATCAATACCTTTGTGCCGTAACAACAACAGCAGCAGCAATAATAGCAACGGAGGTTCGACCGGACCCGCGGTAACCGGCGGCCGGGTGCACCGCAAGCGCGGCGACCTGGAAGACGAGAAGATCCAAAAATACCTGTCCAAACTCAAGGACCTGGTGCCGCTGATACCCAAGGACAAGCGGATATCCCGGCTGGAGGTGATCCATCACGTGATCGATTATATATGCGACCTGGAGGACATGCTGGAGAATCACAGGTCGGTCAACGCGGACGCGGTACACTCCGCAGCCGCGGCCGTCATGCTGTCGTCCTCAGTTGCCGCCGTCCGACAACCGTTGGGCATCATATCGACGCCGAACGCGCTTGCCGCCGCCGCCGCAGCCGTCGCAGTGGCCGCACAGCCGCAATCGTCCTCCGAATCGGTGAGTTGTTGTTGAGGTCAAATTTTTATATGAATGCAATAAAAAAAAAAAACAAAAAACACGTCCCCTCCACGACTCGCGGCCCCGATCGGTTGCTGCGACGTCGTGGTCGTCGAAAAACGCACAAAAATAATTAATCGAAATTGTAATTCAATATTATACCGCGGTTACTTTGGTGACCGTTGTACGCGTCGGTTACACGTTGTGGGTATCATGATATCGCCCGCCGCACTTTCTCTATTTAGGAATTTCACCGTTCCGTCGGCCAAATAGATTTTTAATCGTTGTCCACACTTGTGATCCCCCCAACCCCCTTTCCTTCACACGCACACACGATTATCTTGACCATTAATTGTTGCGAAATTATTGTGTATTTATTTTTTGTTTGATATTGTGTTTTCAGACCATGTCCCCTTCTTCTCGGGCACAAGACAAGCTGTCGAGTTCGTCAGACACGAGAGCCGTTAGCTGTTAAACAAAACAAATAATAATAATATTAAAGAGATATATCATATTGTACTATTTCAAAAACAACACACAACATATTGTAATAAATCAAACAGAAAATGAATAATTAAAAATAAAACGTCGCCTATCTACGCCGCAGCAGCCTGCAGTCACCGTACCGAGGAACATCATTTGTCGAACATACAAGTATATAATAAGTACATTTATATATTTATGTCTGAAGAGAGAGATTACGTTATGTATACACATACATTCCAAATAGATTCGCCATACTCTCGGTAGTTGACTCGGTTCTGTCTGTTTCTCGGAATAGCGCGTTTTTTCTCGCCTCTCACCCATAATGTACAGTTTAGGTTTAAGTCCTAATTGTTATTATTATTTATTATTATTATTATTTTATTATTATTATATTATTATTTTTTTTTTCGTTATGACTGTGATCCTATCAATATGTAGTCTAGGTTTTAGTATTTATCTATTATTATGTAGACGTTTAGCTCTAGCAAGTAATCTTACTACGGTAAAAAAAAATTTAAAAAAATGTTTATTTAAATGTAGCCCTATTTATATAACAACCGGGTGGATTTCGGCCCGAATCCTATATAGAAATATTTTAAAGAAGTTCATTATATTATGTTAAAAAAAAAAAAAAAATCATAACACAGTATCTTATTATATTTGTATAATATATTATAGGGACTACGCGTATATATTATATTCAATAAAACATATTATTATATATATATATATATTTATATAAGCCCACGACGTACCTTTGCGTTTTTCTCGTCTTTGTACATTATTATTTTTTTCTTTTGTTTTCTTTTATTAAATGATTTATATTGTTTGGGTATATATTGATTACTTGAGTTATTACTTAGCTTTTAATTCAATCATATTATAATACGATTTATTACAAACATAAAACTTTGATTTGTTCGTTATTTCTCGAAGATCCTATACATATATTCGTTCCTATGTACAGAGATTGTGATACGGTTTACGACGAATAATAATTATTATTTCGTATAGTATATATGTATTTTTAACTATAACATATGTATATATACATACATAGGTAAAGTATCCACAGTTTGTGAAATTTTTGACGCATGACGGTCAATATTCACGGCGGTTGCAGCTATGTAGACAGTTAAGTTGTTGACGAGACAAATATTATTATTATTATTATTATGGTGTCGTTGTACGTTATGATATAGTCCATAGGAGTCGTCGTCATTCGTCTCGCGAAAAAATCGGTTCGAAGGCATTTTGTACGCATGTTGGCATACCTATTGTAATATTATATATATGCATATCCATCGTGTCAGGGGTTCGCAACTTTCTAAAAAAAAAGGTGTGTCGCGATATGATATTGCAGGTTCTAGGAGGTATATGTATAGTATAGTATGTATTTACGCATAGCATTATACTGCGTGTTGTATTTAACGCACGCCTTCGTGCATCTATGTATTATTATTGTGTGACATCGTGTTGTTATTAATTATTTTTGCGTTGTTGCCTGCGAGTCGCGACTCGTTTAAAAACAATTTCCCGCCGCAGAGCGTATCGCCTCTACAGTCGTCGTGCACGGAAATAATTGGGCTTGCAAGAATATAGGCAATACTTATATACCGGCCTATTGCCTGGGAGCTATGCCGGCAAAGAAAACAAGACGATAAAGCGATGTTTCCGACATTCTTACAATATTATACAGAACGTTAGTTTTTATTTTTCGACCGAACGCCATTCGATTTTGATTTTAATATTCGATGCTGTGCGTTCAATACAAAATTAAATAGATATATAAAAAAAATCAAGAATATATATAATATGACAATATTCATTTTTTTCTCAGGCCAACGTACTATATTGATTAATGACTTCACGTAAAATGGTGCTATACTATTTCTGTGCAATCTTAAGAGTAAAAACGCCCATTATAACAATTACTGATATTGTTTTTGAGAGACTGACATATCGGTTTTATGTTTTGTTTATTATTTTACTTAATATACGGCTTTAAAAATAAAATGAAAATAATCGTGAATTTAAATGGTTGTTATTTTTTTTTTTTTTTTTTTTGATACAATATTAATAGATGAGTCGATGTGGCAATATAAACTATCACTCTGACTCTGTACAATTATTTTTGTAATAGGTGATTTTACTCTAAGAATATACAAAACCGTAAAAAAATAAAATAATAATTTAGCGTAAATGTGTTTCATCTATATTAATCGTTGTGAGCCAAAGAAACAAATAAAGTGCTAAATATTATTAAATTGATATTTATGTGTACATAACACATTATTTTGTTGATCAAATCGTTAGGCTACAATTAACTATGCAACACATAATACGACTACGAAATATATGGCGCCATGTTTTATGACCACTAACATAATATATGGGTACCAACTACCAATTTCAGTGACTTATTGACTTATTCCAATACTTAACCACCACCACCTTGACTCTTTTTTCTTTAGTATAATGATGTTGCTGATTTGACCATATCGCTGATACATAAAATTAACTAATATATAATTCAGTCGTTTAGTAACCGTTAATGACGCGATGCAGATAATAAGACTACAATATTGGTATTTTATATAGATCAGTTATTGTTGTTTAATTTTTACCTATATAACGTTTAAGTTAGATTTGATCTATAAATAACACGATTGTATTTCGTTATTTTTTACTCTAACGTTTTCAAGATAAATAAATAAATTTTAATAATAATTGCCTATATTTAAACCATAAACCTCAAAAAATGTAACAATGATGAACTATATAAAATATATATGTTATTATAATAATACAAATATTATACAGTAAATGTAAATATTTTTGATAAAGATTAATACATCTTACAGCATTAACTAATAATAGAAAAATAATAAATTATTATAATGTTAAAAATGATATAATAAAATATCTTTAAAAATATTAGAAGACAAAATGTTTCCGTTCAAAATCGTTTTTCGTTTGGAATGATTTATTATTGAATTCGAATTTACCAAATCAATAATAGTGACCTATGATGAATGACAAAATACACTTGACACTTAATGTACAAAGTGGTTAACTATTTGCTTACCTTATCTAGGTACATAGTATATCATAGAACATTTGATTATTTCTTAGGTATTTTCGATTTATGTATGATACAATTTTTATTGAAAGTAAAATACCTTAAAAATGTAATAAGTAGGATGACTTGTGCTGACGTGTTAATGTCTTATGTGTTTGCATCTCCTGCACATGACTTGTATTAATACGATTTTATTATTATATGTCTACGTGTGTTATATCTTAAATAATATTATTGATCACGTTCATCATTAATTAAAAAAAAAAAAAAATTTATATTGAATATTATATTAACGTTACATTATTGTTTAAATTTACTGTATTTTATCATTTTTATCTAATTTAGTTTTAAAGTTTTTGATAAAAATCGAAATAACAGCATACTGCATAATGTTAAAAATAAAAATTATTATAGATTAATGGTAGCTGCTAGAAAATTGAGATTGCTCGATGAGTTTTTTGACCAGATATACGTTCAGGTTTAGAACTGAGCGAGAACTCGACATCAAGGATATGGACATAATATTATGTTCGATCGAAAGCAATCCGACATAGCAGAAACATTAGTGATTCCGTCTGGACAGATGCTTGATTATCTCTTTGAAGAAATACGTTCGGACGTGGAGTTGTATTCGCACCACTTGTCTGCGTCTATTTCTTCAAACATTGATGCCAGTTCTTGTTCTCAGACGTTCAGTTTGATTCTACTAATAAAATAGTAACTGTAAGAACCAGGTACTTTCATGAACTTTTGCCTTGACAATCATAACCACAACTGCAGTCAAGATTGAAAATCTTATAGCGAATTATCACCGACAACATCGTTTGAAGTGGGACTTCAGCTAACAGAATCGCTGACTTCCAATGAGGATCTAACGTGGATGACAGACTTGAAAAATACGTGGTCTTCAGAATTGCAGCCAATGTGCTCATCTAGTGGCAAGCAATTGTGGCCATCGAATGTAGAGGAGGGGACGATGGACGTGTTACCTGGTATCGATGAGGCTGCAGGTAGCGATTCGATGGAGACAGTTGCTGAACCGATGCCTAAAAAACGTAGATCATTCCTGTTGGTACTAGAGAGAGTGATCCCGAAAGTCGGAAGAAGGTCTTGTTGCTGAGGCGGCGGCGGTCGTCGAAATAGAACTATTTAAGAACGATACCGACAATACCGTGGAAACCACCTTCGGACACGGTGTAGTGGCATTCTCACGTGATTTGACGATAATAAGACAATGACGAATGTCTTATCCAATTATAGTTAAATACATACGTCGTAATCCGTATGTATGGTATTCGACATAGATTGCGCCAATTCCGGAAGTTGTGTTTACTGATCACCTAGACTCGAGTCACTGATCGACGTCATATGAAAATAATTTTCCGATGTGATTCTCAATATCTCAATACTCGTGTTTAAACGCACGACACACACATGATGCCCACACTCGACTTGCGGATTGTTGTAAACTTCGTTTAAGTCAACTTGTTCTCGCCATCGTCACATCACGCGCCATGCATACACTACGTCTTAGAGTCTATAGCCCACTACGAGAAAAATGAATGTTACGTTATGTTTTTTGTACCTGCAAAGATATTACTTTGTTGGTATATCGTCAATGTAATAATTTTGACAAAAAATTTGTTTATTTATTTAGAATTTTAATTGGCCTGTATAGTATAATTATTAATGTTTTTGAAACTATTTTTTTAGTTTACGGTGTGTTATAATACGCTAATGTTTAACCACTGTTATGTGATCTCATAGTCAATATTTAAACAATAAAAGTATATACGTATAGTAGTAATACAAACGCAGATAGAAAATTTACTTCAGATAATGGAGTAGATTAAATAAAGAAATAACTGGTGACTGTGTGATTAAGATACACCGGTAAAAACCTAATATAATACATACGAGTAGTGTATTTGTGTATATTTTAACATAATATTATAAAATATAACTTGTGTTAATTTCTTTTTTATATAATAAATTATACATGTTATTTTTATCACAATTTTTTCCAACTCAATAAATTATTGTAAGATAAAAACAAATTTATTTTCAATTTGTAACACATTTAGAACAAAAAAAAAAAAAAATACCTAAAATATATTTTTTTAAATTTTCATGAATTATACAAAATATATTTATACACATTTTTAAATTATCTAAATGGTTCATGTTTTTGTGAGTCGACAAAAATATTATTATAGATAACACTGACTTTATTAGTGAAAAATCATGAGGAGTTAGATAAAAATATTTTGTTAAATGTCTGGCATGAAAATTAAATATTACAATTTTCTTTATACTAATGTTCTAATTAAGTTCGAAATATAAATATTATACCATAATTATACTACTTAAGCAAAGGTGGAGGAAATATGAATCATTTAGCTCTTTAAACAAGATTTATTAGATTAATTTTTTATTTTAAAAGTAATGATTATTTAATAACCACACACGGTGTCTACTTTAGAATCAAAATATTGTCTGTTACGGCACGTTATAATTGTAGGCTTGTCGTTATAAATAACAACGAATACTAAAATAG